AGATAGAACAGTAATTGAGAATTAAATTTAAAAGGCTAACTAAATAGTGGAAAGAGGAGAAAATGCCTGTGGGCTGGAGCTAATTGCAGAAGTCTTTGTAGCACAGCTTAAGGTGCACCCTGGCCTTGAGTGGAGAACAGGCTCTGGGTTGCAGGAGGAGCGGTGAAGGCCGGTTGGAGGCCAGTTGGAGGCGGGTTGGAGGGGGTCAGGTCAGGTTCCTGTGCTGGGAAATGAAGTGGGCAGGAGAGGGATGGCTGGTCAAGGGACTCTCGAAATCCATATGCACACGATAGACCCTACTGGTTAGAAAAGGCCTTCTCTCTGCTTTTGGTGTATGAAATGTCCCATAACACATAGATTAAAAGGGAAAGGGGAAAGTAGATTTTAAATAGATCATGTGACTTTACGTAAAATAAATGTGGAGAAAATTTCATATGATAGCCTTAGGTTAGGAATAATTTTCAGTGACCTTAGGATTAAATGAATAAAATTCCATTATATGTATTGTTTTAATCACCTCTTCACCTCGTCAGTGGGAGAAGGATTTCCACCACACAGTACTAACACTGGGCAGATGAGATGGACGGAAGTTTCTTAGACTTTCGTTCTGAATGGAATGGAGAACCAGGGGCTGTGGGAGGCAGGCTTTGTGGTAACAAAAGTGCCTGTGGTTCCTGCAGAAAGACTTTAATAATTGCTTTAATAATTCCTTGGGCTGGCAGGGCAATGGGGCCTACTCCTGAGGTATAAGCAAGAACTGTACCTGTGCCTGGTCACTGTGATGAGAATTGTTTGGCAGCATAGGGAGGGAAACTTGCACTGAGTCCGTTAAAAGCTCTCCCAGTTTTTACCAGATGTCAAGGCAACATGTGATGTTGGGTCTTAATTTTATACCTTATGCCACATGTATGTAACTTGCATTTAATGAAAGATTAACATGAAGTGTTAGTAAATATTAGTAAATTAAGTAGTTACAAATTAGTTATTTGAAAGTCAGGTTCATAGTATAAATAACATCTGGACGGAATGCAGTGGCTCACACCTGTAATCTGGCACTTTGGGAGGCTGAGGCAGGCAGATTGCTTGAGCTCAGGAGTTACCAGCCTGGGCAACCTGGTGAAACTGTATCTACAAAAAATACCAAACTTAGCCAGGTATAGTGTTGCACACTTGTGGTCCCAGCTACTTGAGAGGCTGAGGTGGGAGGATCACTTGAGCCTGGGAAGTCGAGGCTCCAGTGAACCATGATGGTGCCACTGCACTCCAGCCTGGGTGACAGAATGAGACCATGTCTCAAAAAAAAAAAAATTTAAATTTGGAATTGTGAGTCTTGTTAAACTGGGGTTGGAATTGTAGATAAACAGCTGGGTGTGGTGGCTCAGGCCTGTAATACCAGCCCTTTGGGAGGCTGAGGCAGGCAAATTACCTGAGGTTGGAAGTTCGAGACCACCCCGACCAACACTGAGAAACCCCGACCTCTACTAAAAATAAGGAAAGTTAGTTAGACTGATGCTGCATGCCTTTAAACCCAGCTACTCAGGAGGCGGAGGCAGGAGAATTGCTTGAACCTGGGAGGTGGAGGTTGTGGTGAGCTGAAATTGTGCCATTGCACTCCAAGCTGGGTGACAGAGAAAGACTTTGTCTCCAAAAAAAAAAAAAAAAAAAGAATTGTTCCAGTCATCCATATTCACCCAGAAAACATGTATTAAGACCTATTTTGAGTGGACCAGGTAGTATGTGCATAGGCTAAAAGGGCGAATCACATGCATGAGCCCGGGAACTTACAGGCTCATAAGCACGGATCAACAAGTCATGCAGGCTGTAGTGGGAATAGTGTAGGCACACTTGTTTTTTTGTTGCAATCTTTTTTTTTTTTTTTGAGAATGAGTCTCACTCTGTTGCCCTGGCTGGAGTGTGGTGGTGCGATCTCTCACCACATCTGCCTCCCTGGTTCAAGCGATTCTCCTGCCTCAGCCTCCTGAGTAGCTAGGATTACAGGCATGCACCACCATGCCCAGCTAATTTTTGTATTTTCAGTAGAGACAGGGTTTCGCCTCCCAAAGTGCTGGGATTACAGGCGTAAGCCACTGCGCTCGGCCCTGCAATCTTACATAGAAATGATGACTGTTCTTGACATCTTGTTCCCAAGTTCTTCTACCTCCTCTTGAAATGTATTACGTCAGTGAGACTCGCCTGTCTAAAATTGTTCCATAGGTATGCTGAAGTTAACTTGATGCTTGAGATGACCAGTATCTGGCACATAAAGTGGGTAAAACCTTATTTATGAGCCAGTCTCCCTCATCAGACTGTTTAGCTTCTTTGTTTTCATGTATGTATCTGTTAATGTTGTAACTTACCCAAGATCTCACCCCCAGCGGGAAGCAAGATGGGTCTCCAAACTCCCCACCTAAGACTTTTTTCACGGAATCATCTTGCCTTATGAATGGCATGGAGAGGACTAGGGATACTTTTCCAAATTAAGGGAGATGTCAGTTCTGGAAAGCTTTCAGGTAGACAGTCTCATTCATGAGATTATGACTGACACTATTAAGAACTCAGTACCTTTTTGACTTGAGTGACTTCTTTCAGTGTTTCAGTATTATTTTGTCTTAGGTTGTGGGGTGACCTTGCTTTTGGGACTTTGGTAGTTTCTACCTGGGCATTCTTATACCTTTTGAGCACTGAAGGTTTTATTTTAAAAATGATAATATGGAAATGTTCAGAAATACACAAGAGCAGATACAGTAATACAGTGAGTTCCTGTGTATCCATCACCCAGCTTTTACTCGTCCCTGAATCCCTGTTTTCTACAGAAAATTTTTGGTTTTTCAAAAATTAGGGTGGAAATTTTATACTTGTAGTAAGCCTGTTGGTGTTTAAGAGTTAGCTGTCTTGGTGGCATATAGGAATAAGCACTTAGATCATTGTCACAGTTCTGTGAGTCACTGGGACGATTTTGTTCTGTGCCTTTCACCGTGCCCTGTTGTGATCAGGAGATGCTCTTCATGTGGCTAGGGCAGGGTGTGAAGGGGTAGGCAGAATTAGGAGAGGCCTCTAGGGGTAGATTCAGAACTGGCACTCTGTTGCTGACACCTGCCTCCCATTGGCCAAAACAAGCTTGATGGCCCAGCTGCAAATCAGGGGTGAGGGAGGACAGCCTTCTCGTTCAATCATATGGGAACCATATGTGCTTTGATGGGCAAATCAAAAACATTAGCCTTTTTCATTTCTTGGGAGTAATACCAACTCAGTGTGATAATGCTGTCTTTGCCATTATTGTTGTATTGTCACTCCTTACTTAACTATCTCTTGTCTCTCTTCTTTGTGAAGACTAAAAGCTATCAGTTTTATCTAGATAGCTTAGCATAATGAACACTTAGTGCATACAGCATATGTCCAGTAAATACTGTTTGAGTGGATGGATGAAGTAGTTGAGGCGCCAGGTGGACAGCAAGTTAAGTTGCTTTGGTTAAAAGCTAGGGTCTCATAACTTGAAGAATGGAAAAACTTAGCTAGTTAGGGTCCTGACTGAACTGCAGGTTAGTTTTGGGACTCAGTAGTTAAACTGTGGGATTGAAAAATCCCAAAATGTGCTAGAAAGTTGGCAGTTATAACCAGTCATAAACCTTGTTGCTAAAAACTGTTTTTTCTCTGCTATCCACACTGTGCTTTAGTTCATTTGTCAACTGACTTTATGAGTTGGCCATTTGGGAAAAAAAAATTGCAGTCTTTGGGAAGCCTCTGCTTCCTTTCTGGCCTTGAGGCTTGAGCCCTTTAGGTGCCATGGTCCTCACGTTCTCCAGAGGCCACCGGTACCATCCCACACGCCCCAGCAGACACCTCTCTGCAGGAATCGTTATCCTCTGATAATAAATACTGTGAAATCTTCTCAGCACATGCCCAAATAGGCTAAATAAATAAATTAGCATATGCTTATATCCACGTGTTGCTAAGAAGAAAATGTACGGATGAGACAATTTTGAGTTTCTTTGTATAGATTATTCAAAAGAACACATTTGAGAACCTGATAAATGTATTTATAAACCAGATTTGTGTATTGTTATGCCCAGTTTTTTTGTTCTGCACTTATTTTTCTTATCAGAAAGTTTTTTTTTTTGAGACGGAGTCTTGCTCTGTAACCAGGCTGGAGTGCAGTGGTGCAGTCTGGGCTCACTGCAACCTCCGCCTCCTGGGTTCAAGCGATTCTTCCACCTCAGCCTCCCAAGTAGCTGGGACCACAGGCGCATGCCACCACGCCCAGCTAATTTTTCTGTACTTTTAGTAGAGACGGGGGTGTTTCACCGTTTTGGCCAGGATGGTCTCGATCTCTTGACCGTATGATCTGCCCACCTCGGCCTCCCAAAGTGCTAGGATTATAGGCGTGAGCCACTGAGCCCGGCCTATCAGAAGGCTTTATTAAGACTAGAACCTTTTTAAAAAAATATGGGATCAGAGTGTATGAAATCAGTTTTAACTTGGTTTGTATCATGATCCTAACTTTTGTCATAATTTGAAGAAATATACAGATTGGTGCTCGATTTATTTATTTATTTATTTTTTTTTTTGAGACGGAATTTCGCTGTTGTTATCCAGACTGGAGTGCAATGGCATGCTCTTGGCTCACTGCAACCTCCGCCTCCTGGGTTCAAGCAATTCTCCTGCCTCAGCCTCCTGAGTAGCTGGGATTACAGGCGCGCACCACCATGCCCAGCTAATTTTTGTATTTTTAGTAGAGACAGGGTTTCACCATGTTGACCAGGATGGTCTCAATCTCTTGACCTCGTGATCCACCCACCTCAGCCTCCCAAAGTGCTGGGATTATAGACGTGAGCCACCACGCCCGGCCTGGTGCTTGATTTAAATAATAAATACATTTATTATCAATTATTAGTAATGAAGGAGATATTTTTTAGAAGAAGAGAAATGGAGTAAAATTTTGAATTGCATGTGAGCTGTCATGAGTATTCTATGAAAACCTCGTTTCATTTTGTATTATTTAGATTTGAAGACTGCTTCATTCTGCCTCCATTACCAGTGGTTTCTCTGTTCTGTGATCAATGTGATTCACAGGAACTTCTTAAGTAACAAACGAAATGAGCCAGGGGCGTGGAAAATATGACTTCTATATTGGTCTGGGATTGGCTATGAGCTCCAGCATTTTCATTGGAGGCAGTTTCATTTTGAAAAAAAAAGGCCTCCTTCGACTTGCCAGGAAAGGCTCTATGAGAGCAGGTAGGTTATGCCTTGTGTGACTTTGAAATGACTTCATTTTGTACCTACATATGCAGGTTCTTTGATTGTAGAAGACCACATCTTCATTCCTAGTGAGTGTATTTGGAACTTTGAACTGTTCAAGAGTTCTGAATGTTTACAAAATTGATGTTTGGTGATTTACAGGGAGAAAAGAAGTGAGAAGATGCCATAATTAGTTAACTCTACTCAGTCTTGCAGTTATCATCAAAGTAGGAACAGGGAGCAATGCCAAATTAGCATACAGCATATTCTTTAAATTTCGATATGCCTGCAGGTTAGGCTGGGCGTGGTGGCTCATGTCTGTAGTCCCAGCACTTTGGGAGGTCAAAGCAGGCGGATCACCTGAGGTCACAAGTTTGAGACCAGGCTGGCCAACATGGTGAAACACGTCTCTACTAAAATACAAAAATTGGCTGGGCGCAGTGGCCTGGCTTGTAATCCCAGCTACTCGGGAGTTTGAGGCAGGAGAATTGCTTGAACCTGGGAGGTGGAGGTTGCCACTGAGCTGAGATACGAGCCACTGCACTCCAGCCTGTGTGACAGAGTGAGACTTTGTCTCAAAAATAAAGTTAGTGGTTAGAATCAGAATTTATTTTCTTTTGTTTTTTGTTTTTTTTGGGCAGGGAGTCTTGCTCTGTCACCCAGGCTGGAGTGCAATGGCCTGGTCTCAGCTGATTGCAATTTCTGCTTCCCAGGTGCAAGCAATTCTCCTGCCCCAGCCTCTTGAGTAGCTGGGATTACACACACCTGCTACCACACGTGGCTAATTTTTGTGTTTTTAGTAGAGACGGGGTTTCACCATGCTGGCCAGGCTGGTCTCAGACTCCTGATCTTGTGATCCGCCCACCTCGGCCTCCCAAAGTGCTGGGATTACAGGTGTGTGCCACTGCACCTGGTCAGAATCAGAATTTATTAAAGTTTGGACACTTTTGTCCATGATAGTAGTAGAAGTTCTGGCTTTGACATTCGACATTTTGGCAGGAAGGAAAGAGGGTTTCCCTTGCTTGAAGAGTATCCAGTTTAATGAACTTCTGGGTGGTGTAGGTTGTTTCTCTAGAAATCACTGACAAGTCATAAGACCGTGTGGGGTAATCAGGATGATTAGCCCACTCTTTACTCCTCTCTCAGGGAAATTCATGGTAGCCTCAGTGTTACGTGGCATTATGGTCACATCCCATTATTCTGCCCTGGCTTCATTTCTAGACCTGATTGGACTGCATCAGGAGACCTGCTTTGGCAGTAAACAGTACCACGATTCTCTCTTCCCTATGCCATCTCTGTGGTCAAACCTAATTCAGCAGTCTCAAAAACATGAAATGGTAGCCTCTGGGGTTTAGTGGACAGAGGAGAAACAAACTGTCAGCATCTACTGCTTGTTCCCCCAGTCCCTGATGCTTGGTCCTAAGGCAGGTGCTCTCAGTGTTCATGATGGATGTGCTCCATTCACCTTGGCAAGATAATCATTAAGAAATTGTCAGAGAAATCCCCTGAGTCATGCAGAAACCTTTATTTAAAGTAGCAACTGAGATAATTAAAATGTCATTATTACTAGTTATAATTTATACAAGAGTCTGACAATCTTCCAAAGATGTGAAATATCTTTTCATTCACAGGTCAAGGTGGCCATGCATATCTTAAGGAATGGTTGTGGTGGGCCGGACTGCTGTCGAGTATGTATAAAGAACATTGCAAGAAAAATATGATAGCTGTATATTAAAATATTTGCATATGGTGTTATAGTCTCATTACTAGCAAGTTTTAAAAGTTTAAATCTTGTTTTTTAATTAACATAATTGAATAATATAATTTAAAAGGTCAGCAGTTTAGTAGTACTTTCTTTAGTTTTTTTTTTTTTCTTTTGAGTTGGAGTCTTGCTGTTGTTACCCAGACTGGAGTGCAACGGCATGATCTCGACTCACCACAACCTCCGCCTCCTGCCTCAGGAGGAGGCAATTCTCCTGCCTCAGCCTCCCAAGTAGCTGGGATTACAGGCGCACACCACCATGCCCAGCTAATGCTTTTGTATTTTTAGTAAAGACGGGGTTTCACCTTGTTGACCAGGATGGTCTCTATCTCTTGACCTCATGATCTACCTGCCTTGGCCTCCCAAAGTGCTGGGATTATAGGCGTGAGCCACCACCCCCGGCCTTTTCTTTAGTTTTTTATTTTTAATTTTTGTGGATAGATAGTAGGTAATTATATAGTAGGTATTATAGGATTCATGAGATACTTTGATAAAGGCATGCAGTGTGTAATAATTGCATCATGGTATACATGGGGTATCTATCCCCTCAATAATTATCCTTCGTGGTACAACAATCCAGTTAGTACTCTTTCTTTTTGAGATAGGGTCTCACTCTGTCGCCCAGCCTGGAGTGCAGTAGTGTGATCATGGCTCACTGCAGTCTTAACCTTCCAGGCTCAAATAGTCTTCCCACCTCAGTCCTCTACATAGCTAGGACTACAAGTGCATGCCACCATGGCCGACTGATTTTTTTTTAAATTTTTATTTTATTTATTTACAGGGTTTTGCCACGGTTGCCTAGGCTGTTCTCGAACGTCTGGGCTCAAGCATTCCTTCTGCCTTGCCTCTCAAAGTGCTGGTCCCAGTTATACTCTTAGTTATTTTTAAATGTACAATTATTATTGGGCCAGGCGTGGTTGCTCTCACTTTTGCAGGCCGAGGTGGGCAGATCACGTGTGGTCAGGAATTTGAGGCCAGCCTGGCCAACATGGTGAAACCCCATCTCTTCTTAAAACAGAGACTAGAGGCTGAGTGTGGTGGCTCACTCCTGTAATCTCAGCACTTTCGGAGGCCAAGGTGGGTGCATCACCTGAGGTCAGGAGTTTGAGGCCAGCCTGGCCAACATGGTGAAACTAAAAATACAAAAAATTATCCAAGCCTGGTGACGGGCGCCTGTAATCCCAGCTACTCGGGAAGCAGAGGCAGGAGAATTGCTTGAACCCAGGAGGTGGAGGTTGCAGTGAGCTGAGATCACGCCACTGCACTTCAGCCTAGGCAACAGAGTGAGACTCTGTCTCAAAAAACAAAACAAAAACATCAATCTTAATGGAACTTTAGAAATACAGAAGGGAAAAAAATAATAGGAGGAAAAGTGATGCATACATGAGTACATCTGAGTGAGTGCTGATGAATAAACATAAGAGATGGCTCGTGGACTTAAAATATACATGCATAAAATTTAAAGAATAACTGATAATCAACTGGAAGAAAGAAAATGGATTAAGAGTTCTAAGGTTAGAAATAAGTGAAAATAACCTTGAAGAACGAAACTAGGCCGGGTGTGGTGGCTCACACCTATAATCCCAACGTTATTCAGAAGGAAATAAAGCTAAATATTAAACATTAGACTTGACAAATTAAGTATACATAGGAAAAAACTAGAGTATTCAGTTAAAAAGTGTGTAATTTCCTAATTAATTAAAAAGCTGGGCTGGGCACAGTGGCTCATCTCTAATCCCATCACTTTGGGAGGCTGAGGCGGGCAGATCACATGCCAAGAAATCAAGCCAAGAGATCAAGTTGACCATCCTGGCCAACATGGTGAAACCTCATCTCTAGTAAAAATACAAAAAAATCAGGTGGACGTGGTGGCACGTGCCTGTAGTTCCAGCCACTCTGGAGGCTGAGGCAGGAGAATTGCTGAACCTGGAGGCAGAGGTTGTGGTGAGCTGAGATTGTGCCATTGCACTCCTGCTTGGTGATGGAGCTATCACCAAAAAAAAAAAGTTTGGAGAAAGCTTTTTTTTTTTTTTTTAAAGAATTAAATTCTAGTTAAGTAGGAATTAGAGAATAGAGATTATCCTGAATAAAAAGATATTTGAGGCATTGCTACCAAATTCCTTGACTGAATTTTAATGGTAACAAACCATGTTTGAAAGGCATTTTAGGAATTAAAAAGGAGAGAGTTTACTAAGAGAATAAAAAGGCAAATTGCAGACAGAGTATAAATGAAGATAATTGTCCTAAGTTTAACCAGCAAAAGATTTATGTCTGAAATATATAAAGAATTACCTTAAATCAATAAGAGAAAACAGATAGGCTGGGTAAGGTGGCTGAAACCTGTAATCCCAGCACTTTGCGAGGCCAAGGTGGGTGGATCACGAGGTCAGGAGATCAAGACCGTCCTGGTCAACATGGTGAAACCCCGTCTCTACCAAAAATACAAAAAATCAGCTGGGCATGGTGGCGTGTGCCTGTAATCCCAGCTACTCGGGAGGCCGAGGCAGGAGAATTGCCTGAACCCAGGAGGCAGAGGTTGCAGTGAGCCGAGATCGCGCCATTGCACTCCAGCCTGGGCAACAAGAGCAAAACTCCGTCTCAAAAAAAAAAAAAAGATTTCACTGGGTCAGTAAACATATGAAAATGAGAAAAGCAAACAAGGCGTTGCAGAGTCGTCCCATATCCCAGCAGATCAGCAGAGAGAAGTAGAGCAAAGGGAACTCTCATATGCGGCTGAGTGAAAATTGGCATAACCATTTTGGAAAAACCAGAAGCCAAGAAGCTTCCTTTTTTGAGATCATGCCTCTGCCCTGCGTAGGATTCCTCAGTAGCTTTTCAGTTTAGGAAATTCCTTAGTGGGACTTAATTTTCAAGTGTTCTAAGGTTTCCTTATCAGAGAGCCCCTATCTAATGCCATGACACCTAGTTGCAAACCTTTTCTTTCACTAACACTCGCTGTTTTTCTTCATAACACTTTTAACTTCTTGGCACGTGTGCTTAGTTTGTCTGTCTTCCCTCAATGAAAGTTTTATGAGAGCAGAGTCTTTGTTTTGCTCCCTGCTGTATTTCCTGATCCTGGAACAGGACCTGGCGTATCTCATGATTTGCATTTTTAAAAAGAACCAGTGAAAAGGACTTGGGAGAAGTACCCTTATGTTAATGTTGGCTTCTTTTGAGTGATTTTTATTTACTGCCCTAGGATATAAGTATCTATTTAAAATTTATATTAAAATGCCTTTATGTCAGCATGAACTAGATTTCTTCAGTTAGATTATAGATATGTGTTGTTTCTTGAATGTTTCTAACTGACTTGGACTCTTTCTGTAATGTTGGAGATTTATAGAACCATAACCCTTATTAATACATTGAAGAAATATGGAGGTTACTCAATTCAGTTGAAATGATATATAGATATTCTATAAAATGCAGGCATTTCCAAGTCGGGTCCATACATTCTTATCTGAGATTGTTTCTTTTGTCTGTCTCCAAGTGGGAGCTGGTGAGGTGGCCAACTTTGCTGCTTATGCGTTTGCACCAGCCACACTAGTGACTCCATTAGGCGCTCTCAGCGTTCTAGTAAGGTAAGGACACAACATTTTTCATCTAGAAACAGTAGTGAGTATCTTAGTCTGTACAATATTAATTACCATCTGATTACATGTGTTCAACACAATTTACATTTCAACAACCTGGAGAACTTTGCTTTTTACACTATGTAGTACTTGCTTTTAAAACATTATTTTCTGTGCATAGGCAAGCTATTGATTTGTGGAAGAAAATGCTTTGTCTTCTTGTATTCAGAGCCAGTACTAGTTCTACTTCAAGTTCAGGTTTTTTTTGTTTTGAGATGAAGTTTCGCTCTTGTTACCCAGGCTGGAGTGCAATGGCGCGATCTCCGCTCACCGCAACCTCCGCCTCCTGGGTTCAGGCAATTCTCCTGCCTCAGCCTCCTGAGTAGCACGCGCCACCATGCCCGGCTAATTTTTTGTATTTTTAGTAGAGATGGCGTTTCACCATGTTGACCAGGATGGTCTCGATCTCTTGACCTCGTGATCCACCCGCCTCAGCCTCTCAAAGTGCTGGGATTACAGGCTTGAGCCACTGTGCCCGGCCTCGAGTTCAGTTTTTTAAAATTCAAAGTTGGCCGGGCACGGTGGCTCACACCTGTAAATCCCAACACTATGGGAGGCTGTGGTGGGTGGGTCACCTGAGGTCAGGAGTTTGAGACCAGCCTGACTAACATGGTAAAACCCCGTCTCTACTAAAAATACAAAATTAGCCGTGAGCGGTGGCGGGCGCCTATAGTCTAAGCTACCTGGGAGGATGAGACAGGAGAATTGCTTGAACCCGGGAGGCGGAGGTTGCAGTGAGCTGTGAACGCACCACTGCACTTCAGCTTGGGCTGCAGAGTGATACTCCATCTCAAAAATAAATAAATAAAAAAATAAGTAAAATTCAAAGTTGCACTCATCTCAGCATTTATCATTTAGTGCATGTGCACTTTGGTAGCGCTTGGTTGGTAGGTGATGAGTAGGTTTCTATGCCTGGCCTGGGGTGCTTGTTTTGAATGAGTGATCTAAGACTTGTCCCATTTCTGGTTTTTAATGATTAGCCCAAACAGCTAAGCCCATATTGAAGTCTGGATCTTGGTTACTGTTTCCAAAGTGGATTGACTGATTTTTATCTGTTCCCCCCCCCCAAAAAAAACACTATATATAAAATGGGGTTGCGTTATAAGTTATTGCCCTTTACGCTTAATTTTCTTTATAGTAGACTGTTAATGTATTTATTGGTTTATGCTGTATTTTCTTTGTAGGGTTAGCTAAAACTAGGTATAAGTTATTAAAACCTGATAATTTAATAGGCAAATTGTATACAATTAAATGAACACATAAGAGGGGTGCATCAACCCTTAGAAATAACTTGGCCCGGCATGGTGGCTCACGCCTATAATCCCAGCACTTTGGGAGGCCGAGGCGGGTGGATCACGAGGTCAAGAGATGGAGACCATCCTGGTCAACAAGGTGAAACTCCATCTCTACTAAAAATACAAAAATTAGCTGGGCATGGTGGCGTGCTTGTAGTCCCACCTACTTCGGAGGCTGAGGCAGGAGAATTGCTTGAACCCAGGAGGCAGAGGTTGCGGTGAGCTGAGATCGTGCCATTGCACTCCAGCCTGGGTAACAAGCGAAACTCCATCTCAAAAAAAAAAAAAAAAAAAGAAATAAGACTGAGCAAATTTTAAGCATTGGTGGTTTGTGTATAGATTCTTTTTGGTTTTCTTTTTCCCTTGGAGATGGAGTCTTACTGTGTCACCCAGGCTGGAGTGCAGTGGTGCGATCTCAGCTCACTGCAACCTCCCCTTTCTGGCTCCTGCTTCAGCTTCCTGAGTAGCTGGGATTTATAGGTGCCTGCCGCCATGCCTGACTGATTTTTGTATTTTTAGTAGGAGGTTTCACCATGTTGGCTAGGCTGGTCTTGAACTTCTGACCTGGGGTGATTCACCTGCCTCGGCCTTCTTAAGTGCTGGGATGACAGGTGTGAGCTACGATGCCTGGCCTGGATATAGGTTCTTAATTAGGATATAAATGTATACAAATTCCTTCTTCACTATAAATTTCATATCGACTTCTTGCAGTGGAAAGCTGTTAAGTATACAGGTGTAGTGTATGATGAAGCAAATGACTCCCTAGAAACATTTGCACATTATGACAAAATGTACTTTGTTATTCCCTTGGCTAAAGCCAGAATCTTCGTAAGTTCACATTGTTTTAGTTTGAGTTCAGTGATTTAGATTATGAGTTTTATTGGTATTTGTAAAAGAAAAGTAGCTGATTATTTTAAAGTTCTCAACCTTTTTTCCTCCCTGTTTTAGTGCCATTCTTTCTTCATACTTTCTAAATGAAAGACTTAATCTTCATGGGAAAATTGGGTGTTTGCTAAGTATTCTAGGATCTACGGTTATGGTCATTCACGCTCCAAAAGAAGAGGAGATCGAAACTCTAGATGAAATGTCTCACAAGCTAGGTGATCCAGGTAAGTAAAAGGAAAGTCTTATTAGTCTTCCTGCAGTTTACTTTTTTACTGAGTTTTTACTGTAATCAGAATTTGGTGTGCACATAAGGAGAGAGAAATTGTCCTTCCTGGTGGAAGAACAAATTGTAGTTGTCTTCCCTGCTTTCTCTTACCAGTCCCAAGCCTGTGTTTCTTCTGTTCTTTAACTCTGTGTTTGTAAATTGCATGTTTATATTGCTAGTACTTAATTCCTTGTCTTTAGGCATTATCTGTTTTCCCTTTTATTATTTTTTTTATTTTTTATTTTTGAGACGGACTCTCACTCTGTCACCAGGCTGGAGTGCAGTGGCATGATCTGGCCTCAGTGCAACCTCCGCCTCCCAGGTTCAAGTGATTCTCCTGCCTCAGCCTCCCGAGTAGCTGAGATTACAGGCATGCACCACCATAGCCAGCTAATTTTTGTATTTTTAGTAGAGACGGGGTTTCAATGTTGGCCAGCATAGTCTTGATCTCTTGACCTCATGATCCGCCCACCTCAGCTTCCCAAAGTGCTGGGATTACAGGTGTGAGCCATCGCCCCCAGCTATCTGTTTTACCTTTTATCTACTCTCCCTATATAGTTTTATTATTTGGAGTATTTGTTTACATTATCATTGATACATAACTTTATTCTTATCTTAGCCCTTATTATGATTACTTTTCCTTTCCTGTATGATTTAAGTTTTTCCAGAACTAATAATTATCTTGTGTGCACAGTTTTTTATGAATTGATCAATGTACGGTGAAACTCTTCCCCAGTTGGCTTATTCTACTCTCAGTAATTTCAAAGAGGTATTCTTTGTTTCATCTGTTTTGGAAATTTCTCTCAGTGCCTTCTGTGTGGCGTGGATCTAGGTGGGTGTCTCCAGGCTGCCAGCACAGCTGTTATCTGCACTGCCCTTCAGCAGCTCCCTGGGGATTCCCTTCAGTTTGCTTTTTCTTGGATCCCTTATTTCCAGATTCCTGAGTTTGCTTCTTCATTTTGGTGGTGCCACTCTAGAGGAGACAAGAACAGGCATGAAAAGATGAGACTTTTCAAGACCTTGTTTATCTCAAAATGTCTTTACCTGATTGTGACCACCACTGTCTTCTCATTTCTGGCATTACTGCTGAGAAATTAAACAGTTTATTTCTTATCTTTTACATGCAACCAAGTTTTTCGTTTTTGGAAGCATGTAGGATATTCTCTTTCCCCAAGGTGTCTGAAATTTCCCACTGACATTCCTAGATAGGGATCCATTTATGTCCATTGTGCTGGGTACCTGATGGTTGATTTTATTTTGAGATAGGGTCTTGCTCTGTTGCCCAGGCTGGAGTGCAGTGGCATACTCTCAGCTCACTGCAGCCTTCTCCCCAGCTCAAGCGATTCTTCCACCTTAGCCTCCCAAGTAGCTGGGACTACAGGTGTGTGCCACTATGTCCAGCCAATTTTTAAATTTTTTTGGTAGAAACGAGGTTTTACCATGTTGGTCAGGCTGGTGTTGACAAACTCCTGATCTCCAGTAATCTGCCCACCTCAGCCTCCCAAATTGCTGGGATTACAGGTGTGAGCTACTGTGTCCCACCTGATGGTGTGTTTTTCTTTCTTTCTTTTTTTTCTAAGACAGTTTCGCTCTTGTCGCCCAGGCTGTAGTGCAATGGTGCAATCTCGGCTCACTGCAACCTCTGCCTCTTGGGTTCACACGATTCTCCTGGCTTGGCCTCCCAAGTAGCTGGGATTTCAGGCACCTGCCACCCATGCCCAGCTAGTTTTTGTATTTTCAGTAGAGATGGAATTTCACCATGTTGGCCAGGTTGGTCTTAACTCCTGATCTCAGGTGGTCCACCTCAGCCTCCCAGTGCTAGGATTACAGGCGTCAGCTACCGTGCCTGGCCTGACGGGTCTTTTTAATTTGAAAATTTGTGTCTGACTTTTGGGAACTGAATACTCCTTTGATATTCTTTCTTGTTTTTTCTTTGCAAGATTCTTACTCATCTGTTTATTGAAGTTCTTGACCTAGAACCCTAACCCTAACCTAGATCATTAATTTTTTCCCCTCATTCTACCATTTTGTCTTTTTGCTCTGCCTTTGGGGAGATTTTCTCAGTTTTTTTTCCCCCGGCCCTTCTGAGTTTTTATTTCTGTGGTTATGTTGTTAATTTCTAAGAGTTTATGGATTCTGTTCTTTTGATTCCTAATTACTTTAAAATCTTTGTCTGCTAACGTTAGTCTGTGAATTCTTTGTGGGCCTGCTTCTACGGTGGTGGTTCTGTTTTGTTTTTAGGCATTCGTTTTTGTCTTTTGTCTTTTTTTTTTTTTTTTTTTTTTTTTTTTGAGATGGAGTCTCACTCTTACTTGCCCAGCCTGGAGTGCAATGGTGTGATCTTGGCTCACTGCAACCTCTGCCTCCTGGGTTCAAGCAGTTCTTTTGCCTCAGCCTCTCGAGTAGCTGGGATTACAGGCATGCACCTCCATGCCTGGCTAATTTTCTATTTTTTTGGTAGAGACGGGGTGTCTCCAGGTTGGTCAGGCTGTTCTCGAACGTTTTTTTTTTTTGAGATGGAGTTTCGCTCTTGTTACCCAGGCTGGAGTGCAATGGCACGATCTCAGCTCACCGCAACCTCCACCCGCTGGGTTCAGGCAATTCTGCTGCCTCAGCCTCCTGAGTAGCTGGGATTACAGGGATGCGCCACTGTGCCCAGCTAATTTTTTGTATTTTTAGTAGAGATGGGGTTTCATCGTGTTGACCAGGATGGTCTTGATCTCTTGACCTCATGATTCACCCACCTCGGCCTCCCAAAGTGCTGGGATTAAAAGCGTGAGCCACTGCACCCAGCGTTGGCTTTTTTTTAATTGCATGCTGGACATAGGATATTAGAAGGTGTAAAGGTTTTAAGTGATGTTTTTCTTCCTTCAGAGAGAATATAAATTTCTTCTGGTAGGCAGAAAAGAATACGGCAGATCACCTTCACCCTGAAGGTGTGGTTTTAAGCTTTGTTGAGCCTAGTTTCTTTCTAGTTCGCCTTCCTTCTTCTTCTTTTTTTAAAATGTATTACATCCAGCCCAAAATGTCATTGTTACTATTTTTTTGAGACAGGATCTCACTCAGTCATCCAGGCTGGAGTGCAGTGGAGCGATCATGGCTCACTGCAAACTCTGCCTCTTGGGCTCAAGTGATCCTCTCACCTCCGCCTTCTGAGTGGCTTGGACTACACAGATGTGGGGTACCACATCCGGCCAGTTTTTGTATCTTTCTTTTGTTTGCTTATTTTTGAAATGGAGTCTCACTCTGTCACCCAGGCTGGAGCACAGTTGTGTGATCTTGGCTCATTGCAGCCTCTGTCTCCTGGATTAAAGTGATTCTCCCGCTTCACCCTCCCAAATAGTTGTGATTAGAGGTGCGCACTACTATGCCTGGCCTAATTTTTGTATTTTTATTTTTATTTTTTTTGATAGAGACAGGGTTTTGTCATTTTGGCCAGGCTGGTCTTGAGCTCCTGAGCTCAAGTGATCCTCCTGCCTTGGCCTCCCAAAGTGCTGGGATTATAGGCATGAGCCACCACCCCTGGCCCAGTTTGCGTTTATTCTTTTTCATAACCCTGTGGCTCTCAACTGATAGCTTTGGATGTTGGTTTGGGCCCCTCCACCTGAGAAAGTGAGAGCTCCAGGGTCTGTTCCTCAGTGACTGGAGATGCTCAAATCCCTGCTTGGCCCTGTGGCCTTCTGGCCAGGCTTTGTTTCCATCTGGCTCCTCTGAGCTTGGCTGTGCGGCTTGTGTGCCAGGAAACACCATAAGGGGAGATGCACACAGAAATTTGGGCTCACTACTCTTCATTTCTGGGTCTTGGTCCGTTAAGTCCCGGCTGCTTAGGCAGCCCCAGATTCCAGCTTGTTTTTACCGAGTCCACTCATGCATAGGCTGGTGTCAATGGAGCTTCATGCCATCTCACCCCTTGCTTTGGCAGTTGACCCAAGGGAGAAGGCAGAGGTACGTGTTGGTCTGATTTTTCTCTTCTCTCTGAATTTTGGCCCCTTAAGTCCTGGCTACTTTGATTGCTCTTTGATGCCCTCAAATAAATGTTCTTTTTGTTTTTTTGGTTGATGTGGATCCGTTGTTTGTTGGTATTTGGGATGCCAGGTTCAGCTGTCTCATCATTTCTCTGAGGATATTAATAATAGTTTTTCTGGTTTCTCTGAGGATATTAGTTTTATTGTTTTTAGAGGGACGGTTGTTTGTTTTGAAGCTTTTCACATCTACGAGGGACAAACGGGCTTGGCGCTTTTCGGTTTGTTTGGGCTTCTCTCCACTGCACTGGATAGGAGACGCCTTCATCTAGGCTTCACCCTCAGTCTTGCATTTACCCCACTTCGGAGACACTTTGTAGCTTTTGAGCGTTCTGTACTGGAAACTAAATTGCTTTTTAATGTTTGATCACAGCTGATGTGTAGCATTTAGCTTTCTCGGATCTGTGTATTAGTTATTAGCCTTTGCATTCTGACTTACAAAGTATTGTTATCTTCGGTCTTTTTTTTTTTTTTTTTGAGACAGTCTCACTCTGTTTCCCAGGCTAGAGTGCAGTGACGTGATCTTGGCTCATTGCAACCTCCGCCTCCCAGGTTCAAGCGATTCTCCTGCCTCAGCCCCCCAGGTAGCTGGGATTACAGGCGTCTGCTACCATGCCCGGCTAATGTTTGTATTTTCAGTAGAGACAGGGTTTTGCCATGTTGGCCAGGTTGGTCTCAAACTTCTGACCTCAAGTGATCTGCCCTTCTTGGCCTCCCAAAGTGCTGGGATTAAAGGTTCGAGACACTGCACCTGGCGTCTGTTCTTAATTTTGTATATTTGTATCTTTAAAAATCCTATTACCCTGTATTAGTGGAGTTTGAGGAAGGAAGAGTAAATTCATGTGACTTCTGTGCCTCAGTTTCCTCCTCTGAAGATGCAGGTGGTAGTATCTGTGACACAGGGTAGTTGAGTGGAAATTGCTGAGAAAAATGCCCGGCCCACAGTGCTACACAGTTACTGGCTGTTACCATGCTGGCTTCAATTCTCCATATCAACCAGAACCCCAGCGGTATCTTTCAAGTTACCCAGTTGACTTGCTAGTTACTCCAGCAGTTGTCTGCAAATTTTAAAAAAAGTTTACCCCTTTTAGGGAAAACCTGATGAATAACTCTTTTCTTTTTAAAATGGGGTTTTGCTCTTGTTGCCCAGGCTGGAGTGCAGTGGCGCATTCTTGGCTCACCACAACGTCTGCCTCCCGTGTTCAAATGATTCTCCTGCCTCAGCCTCCTGAGTAGCTAGCTGGGATTACAGGCGCCCACCACTACACCAGGCTAATTTTGTATTTTTAGCAGAGACGGGGTTTCTCCATGTGGGTCAGGCTAGTCTCAAACTCCTGACCTCAGGTGATCCACCTGCTTCAGCCTCCCAAAGTGCTGGAATTACAGGCGTGAGCCGCCGTGCCCAGCCACATCTATAAATTGTTGGGCATTTGAGGCCACCTGGTGGTTTCTCCTCCACTGTTTTGGTCTCTGTTCTGATCCCAGTGTTCCTGTTACCTTGTGAGTTAGAACACTTCAGTAGGCATAAAATGCTGCTTCAGAAATGTTAGGGATGTGACAATTTGCGACTATGAAGCAAACACACATTAATCTTCAGTGCATACATCTGAGTAAATGTTTGTGGTTGCGCGTCTGCTAGGGCAGCAAAATGAAGCTGATTTTTATTTCCAGGTCATACCTTTTCTCCCTGTCGTGTTTATTACATTTTGTTTTGGATATTGTGTTTAAGAGCAGCTAACCAGCCAGGTGCGGTGGCTCACGAGGTCAAGAGATCGAGACCATCCTGGCCAACATGGTGAAACCCCGTCTCTACTAAAAATACAAAAATTAGCTGGGCGTGGTGGCACGCGCCTGTAGACCCAGCTTCTTGGGAGGCTGAGACAGGAGAATTGCTTGAACCTGGGAGGTGGAGGTTGCAGTTAACCGAGATTGTGCCACTTCACTGAAGCCTGGCGACAGAGCAAGACTCTGTCAAAAAAAAAAGAGCAACTAACCATTTGACTCATGTAACTTTTCTTTGCCTCCTTCAGGTTTTGTGGTCTTTGCAACCCTTGTGGTCATTGTGGCCTTGATACTAATCTTTGTGGTGGGTCCTCGCCATGGACAGACAAACATTCTTGTGTACATCACAATCTGCTCTGTGATCGGCGCGCTTTCTGTCTCCTGTGTGAAGGGCCTGGGCATCGCCATCAAGGAGCTGTTTGCTGGAAAGCCTGTTCTGCGGCACCCCCTGGCCTGGGTGCTGCTGCTGAGCCTCCTCGTCTGTGTGAGCACACAGATTAATTACCTAAATCGGGCCTTGGATATATTCAACACTTCTATCGTGACTCCAATCTATTATGTATTCTTTACAACATCCGTTTTAACTTGTTCAGCTATTCTTTTTAAGGAGTGGCAGGATATGCCTGTTGATGATGTCATTGGTACTTTGAGTGGCTTCTTTACAATCATTGTGGGGATATTCCTGTTGCATGCCTTTAAAGACGTCAGCTTTAGCCTAGCAAGTCTGCCTGTGTCGTTTCGAAAAGACGAGAAAGCAATGAATGGCAATCTCTCTAATATGTATGAAGTTCTCAGTAATAATGAAGAAAGCTTAACCTGTGGAATCGAACAACACACTGGTGACAGTATCTCGAGAAGAAATGGAAATCTGACAGCATTTTAAGAAAGATGTAATTAAAGGTTAATCTGTGATTGTCATGAAGTGAATTTGAATATCAGAATGTATCTGAAAAAGCATTGTCCTCAAATAATATTCTTTAAAGGCAATCTTTTTAAAGATTTCACTCATTTGGACCAAGAGATTACTTTTCTTCTATTTAAACAATGGTAGCTCACTAAAATGACCTCAGCACAGGACGATTTCTATTAACATTGTATTGTTGTAGAAGTGTTTTACATTTTCATTCCTTCTCCAAAATCTGAAGGCACTAATAACAGTTTTAAGTCTATAAAAATGTTTTATTTTTCCATTGGTGATGAAAGTCTGAAATGTGCATTTGTCATCCCCATTCCATCAATCTCTGACCATATAAGGCTTTTTTATTTTAAAAAAGAACACAATTATCCCAATACATTATTCTGTGATTTACCTTACGTATAAAGTGGCTCCTGTTTGATGATTGGTTTTATTTTTGAAATATTAAGGGAAAACTAAGTTACTGAATGAAGGAAACGCTTACAAAACAAAAGGGCGGAAATCACCACAAGGAACTATTTCTCAGGTTGTGATCTATCACGGTGAATCCGGCTTCCTGTGTGCATTCGATGGCCGCCTTAGTACCTTATCAGACCAGCGCCTCCTGCCTGTTGCAACCTGGCTGGGTTCATTCTTCAGTTACCCTGATCCCATGCTGCCTGAAACCTTGATGATTACTGTTTTACATCAGCTCTTGTACTTTTCATTATATTTCATAGTGAGTCATATTGTCATTTAGACTTGGAACAGCTCTCGGAAATAGAAGACTAGGGTTATGTCTTAAATTTAACTCGTTACAATACAAAGTAGAAAAGAAGTTCTTTTCTAAGTTGGAATGCTTAGAACAGACTTAAAATGTTTATAAAATATGGTCTGTTTGTACCAAGTACTTTGCTTAAGAGCTCCTTTGGGCCACTATATGTTTTGGTTTCTAGAAAATGTTTATGAAGAAGTTGATGGAAAATTGCAAACACATGCAGAAAAGGTAGAATAAAAAGGTCTAATGAGCCCCATGCAGCTGTTGAACCTGTTCACTTGTAACCACTGACTGGCCTTTAGTTAATTTGCAGTTAATTTCCACCTGGTGATGGGAAGAGACCATTCATCTGTTCCAGTCTGTGGCTCCTGCCTGGAGGTTACCCAAAGGTGCGTCAGTGCCAAACCATCCGTCCCCGAGAGCCTCCCACACCGGACGGTGCTGGCATCCCATGTAGCTCACCATTGGCTGCATGGAAAGTCCCTTTTTTCTAAGGTTAGTATTGGCCTTCTAAGGAGCTGTTTTAGATGTTTTTTTCCTAACTGCCTCTTTCCGTGTCATTGAATACTACCGATGTACTCTATATCTGTTTATATACTGTACCTACATCTGTGCTTTGTGTATAAAAGAACCAGTTATCACCCCGTTGAGGATAGAGCCCTTGTTGAACATACATAGGCTTTTTTCTAATAAAAAATTCTTAGTTAACATTTTATAGCACTTGAGATTGTCTTATACCTAAATATTACATTATATTTTGTATGTAATTAAGCCTTATAAAACTTGGTTTTTTTTTTTTTGTTTTTTTTTTTTTTTGAGACAGAATAGTCTTGCTCTGTCGCCAGGCTGGAGTACAGTGGCACAATCTTGGCTCCCCGCAACTACCGCCTCCTGGGTTCAAGTGAGTCTCCTGCCTCAGCTTCCCGAGTAGCTGGGACTGTAGGCATGTGCCATCATGCCCAGCTAATTATATATTTTTTAACTAGAGATGGGGTTTCCCTGTGATGGCCAGGATGGCCTTGATCTCTTGACCCTGTGATCTGCCCACCTCCGCCTCCGCCTCCCAAAGTGTTGGGATTATAGGTGTGAGCCACCGCACTGGGCCAAAACTTGGCAATTTAAATTACAGTAATTTTTCCATCTGTTTGTGTCCTCTCTTATTTCCTTGAGCAGTTTGTAGTTCTCCTTGAAGAGTTCCTTCACAATCCCTTGTTACTTGTATTCCTAGGTGTTTTATTCTCTTTGTTGGCAATTGTGAATGGGAGTTCGCTCATGATTTGGCTCTGTTAGTCTGTTGTTGGTGTATAGGAATGCTTGTGATTTTTGCACATTGATTTTGTATCCTGAGACTTTGCTGAAGTAGCTTATCAGCTTAAGGAGATTCTTGGCTGAGACGATGGGGTCTTCTAAATATACAGTCAATTCATCTGCAAACAGGTAGAATTTGATGTCCTCTCTTCCTATTTGAATACCCTTTATTTCTTTCTCTTGCCTGATAGCCCTGGCCAGAACTTCCAGTACTGTGTTGAATACGAGTGGTGAGAGAGGGCATCCTTGTCTTGTGCCGGTTTTCAAAGGGAATGCTTCCAGTTTTTGCCCATTAAGTATGATGCTGGCTGTGGGTTTGTCATAATTAGCTCTTATTATTTTGCGATATGATCCATCAATAGCTAGTTTTATTGAGAGTTTTTAGCATTAAGGGCTGTTGAATTTTGTCAAAGGCCTTCTCTGCATCTATTGAGACAATTGTGGTTTTGTCTTTGGTTTTGTGGATGTGATGGATTACATTTATAGATTTGTGTATGTTGAACCAGCCTTGCATCCCCAGATGAAGCTGACTTGATCATGATGGATAAGCTTTTTGATGTGCTGTTGGATTCATTTTGCCCAGTATTTTTATTTTATTTTTATTTTTGAGACGGAGTTTCGCTCTTGTTACCCAGGCTGGAGTGCAATGGCGTGATCTCAGCTCACCACAACCTCCGCCTCCTGGGTTCAAGCAATTCTCCTGCCTCAGCCTCCTGAGTAGCTGGGATTACAGGCACGTGCCACCATGCCCAGCTAATTTTTGTATTTTTAGTAGAGACGGGGTTTCACCATGTTGACCAAGATGTCTGGATCTCCTGACCTTGTGATCCACCCGCCTCGGCCTCCCAAAGTGCTGGGATTATAGGTTTGCGCCACTGCTCCAGGCCTTGCCCAGTATTTTATTAAAGATTTTTTGTATCAGTGTTCATCATGGATATTGGCCTGAAATTTTATTTTTCAGTTGTGTCTCTGCCAGGTTTTGGTATCAGGATAATGTTGGTCTCCTAAAATGAGTTAGGGAGGATTCCCTCTTTTTGTATTGTTTGGAATAGTTTCAGAAGGAATGGTACCAGCTCCTCTTTGTACCTCTGGTAGAATTTGGCTGTGAACCCATCTGGCCTATTACTTGCTGCCTCAACTTCAAACCTTGTTACTGGTCTGTTCACGAATTCAGCTTCTTCCTGGTTTAGTCTGGAAGGGTGTACGTCTCCGGGAATTTACCCATTTCTTCTAGATTTGCTGGTTTATTTGCATATTGGTGTTTGTAGTAGTCTCTGATGGTAGTTTGTATTTCTGTGGAATCGGTGGTGATATCCCCTTTATCATTGTTTTATTGCATCTATTTGAATCTTCTCTCTCTTCCTTTTTATTAATCTGGCTAGTGGTCTATTTTATTGATCTTTTTAAAAAACCAGCTCCTGGAATTACTGATTTTTTGAAGGTTTTTTTTGTGTCTGTATCTGCTTTAGTTCTGCTTTGATCTTAGTAGTTTCTTGCCTTCTGTTAGCTTTTGAATTTGTTGGATCTTGCTTCTCTAGTTCTTACCCACCCCCCCACGCCCGCCAGATGGAGTCCTGCTGTCTCCCAGGCTGGAGTGCAGTGGCACAATCTTGACTCACTGCAACCTCCGCCTCCCGGGTTCAAGCAGTTCTCCTGCCTCAGTCTCCCAAGTAGCTGGGATAATAGGCATGTGCAACTACTCCCAGCCAACTTTTTTTGTATTTTTTGTAGAGACAGCATTTTACCACGTTGGCCAGGCTGCTCTCAACTCCTGACCTGGTGATCCGTCCACCTCAGCCTCCCAAAGTGGTGGGATTACAGGCATGAGCCACTGCATCCAGCCTCCTCTAGTTAATTGTGACGTTGGATTTTATATCTTACCTTGCTTGTCTGGTGGCATTTGGTGCTATACATTTCCCTCTAGACACAGCTTTAAATGCATCCCAGAGATTCTGGCATGTTGTGTCTTCGTTCTCATTGGTTTTGAAGGACATCTTTATTTCTGCCTTCATTTTTTATTCAGTAGTCATTCAGGAGCATGTGTTTAGTTTCCATGTAATTGTGTGGTTTTGAGTGAGTTTCTTAATCCTGAGTTCTAATTTGACTGCACTGTGGTCTGAGAGACTTACGATTTCCATTCTTTTGGATTTGCTGAGGAGTGATTTACTGCCACTTATGTAGTCAATTTTAGAGTAAGTGCGATGTGCTGAGAAGACTATATTTTGTGGTTCTGGGGTGGAGAGTTCTGTAGATGGCTATTAGGTCTGCGTGGTCCAGATCGGAGTTCAAGTCCTGGATATCCTCGTTAATTTTCTGTCTCGTTGATCTAATATTGACAGTGGAGTGTTAAAGTCTCTCACAGTTATTGTGCCCAGAGTCTAAGACTCTTTGTAAGAACTTGCTTTATGTGTCTGGGTGCTCCTGTATTGGGTACATATTTAGAATAGTTAGCTCTTCTTGTTGCATTGATCCCCCTTACCATTATGTAACGCCCTTCTTTGTCTCTTGATCTTTGTTGGTTTAAAGTCTGTTTTATTGGAGACTAGGACTGCAACCCTGCTTTTATTTGCTCTCCAATTGCTTGTTAAGTATTCCTCCATCCCTTTATTTTGAGCCTTTGTGTGTCTTTGCATGTGAGATGGGTTTTCTTTTCATCCTATTCTATAGTTGCTAAGATAAGCACAGCTACCACCTCTCAATCTACAGCAGAATGCTGGCCCCAGGGTTATTTACATTACCAAAAGCATTTTTAGGGAACTTTTTATAAAGAAAGATCGTTAAGCTTATTGTCACTCAGGTTTGGCAGCACAGCAGGATGGTTCACTTCTTTGCTGTGTGTGATGCTTCTGGAGTGTCCAAAGGCCTATGGAAGAGTCAAGTAGGCGAGGCCCACTTTTTATGGCAACGTGGCATCCATAGAAAATGTTAGAATTGAAGAAAGTTGCAATACTCCAAATAATGTAAATCGACTGCCAGGTCATGACATGTGAGTTCAGTTAATCATGCTGGCCCTGTGTTTATCTGTAGTATTTGTTTACAAAAGACAGGCCTAACATTTTTTTTTTTTTTTCCAGTTAGGCTTTTCACAACCTCATTGCCTTAATACTTTAAAGTTTGGCTTTAGTTTCTCAATTCTAAAACATGTTGATGACTCTACGGTAGTCTAGACTGATTATCTTTCATTCTGACAGGTCATGTGAACCAGCTTCAGCCACGTGAGCCCTGTGTAATGAGGGGGACAGATGAAGGCTGGACTGAAGTTCTCCCCGGCCCCTTTCTGGAGCACCCGCTGTCCCTGGCTGATCTCCTCCCACAGTGCAGGCCTCCTCCAGCTCGTGGGCACAGGTAACAGGCACTGAGTAGCCTCTTCATATCCAGATTGGAACAGCCCACATGGACGTTTTATACCTCATTTGCCTGCAGAATCCTAAATTTAAGCTGTAGGTCTGAGCTGGGCCTGTCGTGCGAGCTCAGATTTAGAGTTCCTTGCCAAGCCAAGCAGCACAGGGCTGTAGTGAATGAACGAACACAAATAGACCTCATTAGTTTTATTTCTATATTCTTTAGGTCTGATCTCATGTTAGATTTTGTCACAACTGGATTTAGTGGAAGCAGGGGAATCAAGTTCACTATTTTCTGAAACACTGATACAAAAAAGGGTGGAAACAATGACTTAGAACTAAGATTATTCATAAAAGACCGTGAGAAAGATCCCTAAACAAAAGCTAGTTACATTTAATGGTAACTGGGAAGGGATTTAATACATTTACTGGTATTAACTTTCTTACGGAATGAATCGTAGCTGTCAGAACATCCCATAGAAAAACAGTAATTGTAAGAATGTGATGGCAACAATCAGCAGCCAGTATACTCAGACTTCCTAATTACCAAAAGCATATACAATTTTAGTCTACAAAAATAAGTCAATTTTATAAAATTAAGCCTTTAGATGAAAAGCACCCCCTTTGACAGGTATAGAGATACTGAAAAATAGTCCCTAAAAATCTCACTAAATACGGAGAGAAAAGCATGCCACGTTGAGTTACGGGTGCAGCCCGCACCCTCAGCTGCTGGCCAAGGACTGGTGGATGGGTGGCTGGAAGCAGCGCACGTGCTCCACTGGGGTGCTCTCCCCGTCGCCTGACTTCAGGTACTTATCCAGGATGGTGATGATCTCGTCATTGAGAATCTGGAACTTGCGAATTCTCTCCACCATCTTCTTCAAAGGCTACGACCAAGAATATTAGGATGTTTTACTATTAACACCTGAACATTTATTTATTCTTTGTTTCACAATGTTAGGATTCTTATATTTTCTCAGAAAAATAATAGCAAATGGAATTGACACACGTTTTTTTTTTTAAGATAGGGTGTCACTGATGCCCCAGCTGGCATGATCAGCGCTCACTGTAGCCTAACCCTCCTGAGCTTAGGAGATCTTTCCACCTCAATCTCTTGAGTAGCTGGGATCACAGGCATGTACCACCACATGCAGCTAATTAAAAAATTTTTTTGTAGAGACAAGGTCTGTTGCCCAGGATGGTCTTGAACTCCTGACCTCAAGCGATCCTCCTCTGCCTCAGCCTCCCAAACTGTTGGGACTATAGTTATGAACCACCACTCCCAGCCACAGCCCATCTCTTTAATGCGACAGTTGGAAGAATGACTATATTTTGGATTTAGAATTCCTGTTGGTTTCATGCTGCTGTATATTTTTTCATGTGCACAACTTACAAGCCTATTCCTTCCACATCAGCAATTAAGACCCTACTGTCTGCACAAAGCTGTGGATCTACAGATGAAGATGATGTGCTCAGTGGACAAAGATCCGTCAACTAACACAAGTTTTAGACTTACAGTGTAGAAATACTGACAGGATACTGTGACAGACCCTCCTGCCACAACAGAAATAAGAGAATGTGAATAAAGAACATCCACGCAAACCAAAAACTTTTTGAAAAGCACTGCTGGTTCTGCCTATGGCGGGTGGTAAGGGGGCAGCCAGTGCCCTGAGTGTATGGGCAGATGATGCAAGTATGTGTCTTGGGAGGAAAAGCAATCTAAATTAAGTCCAATTAGATAAAGACCCCCCAGTAACCCAACACACAAGGAAAGAGCAGTTTTAAATACCACCAAGGGCTTCAGATACTACAATGAAAAGATACAGAATGTAGAATACATGAACTGGATAACGAAGAGATGGAAAAAATTCAGTTAAGACAATAAAACTGTCAGTTACCACCAAGATTTGAAGAGCTGAGGAAAAGGTCAGCAGATTAGCACTGAAGTGAGAGTTAACTAAGACACGTGAAGACAGTACTCTGGATACAGCTCTGGGAGACATGGAAGTGGCGTCGGAGAGGCCCATGACCTGGAGCCCGTGACTGCGCTGCCCTGTGTTGCACGGAGCCTGGGTGGGTGTGGTTAAACCTAGACTGTAAGACAGGGAGAGTATCTGGGTTGTCCTCTCAGTATCATCATAGCAGGAATGTTCTCTGGCTAGCAGCAGGAGACGTGGCAAAAGACTAGAAGCTGAGGCTGCCCGACCCACTGTTGCTGGAGGGAGCCACCTGGAAAGCATGAGAAGGAGGGGTGACCCAGTCCCACAGCTGCAAGCTGTGCATAAGGCTGAAGGCCTCCAAGGTGAACACCACACCTTGGACACATTGATTTTGGACCTAGCTGAGCCCGGCTGTACCCCGGCATCTGACTTAGAGAACTGTGAGATCATAAATGGTGTTTAAACTGCCAAGCCTGTGGCGATTTGTTGTCACGGAAGCAACAGAAAATGAATACAACAAGGCTGGGCGCGGTGGCTCACGCCTGTAATCCCAGCATTTTGGGAGGCCAAGGTGTGTGGATCACTTCAGGTCAGGGGTTCGAGATCAGCTTGGCCAACATGGTGAAACCCCATCGCTACTAAAAATGCAAAAATTAGCTGGGCATGGTGGTGGGAGGCTGAGGCAGGAGAATCACCTGAACCCGGGAGGCGGAGGTTGCAGTGAGCTGAGATTGGGCCACTGCACTCCAGCCTGGGCAACAAGAGCAAAACTGTCTCAAACAAAACAAAACAAATTCAACAGAGGGATGTGAAGAATAGAATGAGAGAGTATAATACATGTCTAACTGAAGTCCTGAATGGCAAGAATAGGGAGAATGGAAGGCTAAAATATTTCAAAGATAATGGCTGAGTATTTTCCAGAATTCAACTATGAGGAATCCATAAAATCACAAAGACAAAAGGCCTTTAAAGCAGCTAAAAAATACACTTTTGACTTCTAGGGAGCCTGAAGACCGGAATAGTTGCCAAAGTTCTGAAAATGCACATCCTGTAAGACTTTAAGTAAATCTAAGTACCTTGAGAAGGAAAACGGACCGTGAGGATTTTCTCTGCCAGAATATGCTTTACTGGCCAATTGTATCTAGGTTCATTCTGGGAATGAAAAGAATGTTTCTCTTGGTGGTACCTTAGGTACTAGGTCAAAAAACAGTCACTGAAACAAGACCTTGTAACATAGTAACATAGATAGTGGGAGATTTTCATCCACGTACCACATTTTTAATAATCTCGTCTTTGCCATCGTGTTTCTGGACCTTAAGTAGATGGTAGCAGAAATCCAGCACAGCAAAACGCCGCTGCTGCCCAAGGAGTACGATGATCATGCAGCCAGCCCAGTGTAGCCCGTCACCAAAGCACTGCCTAGAGACAAGTGGAAACAATGGGAGGGGAGTGACATGTTACCAGGTCTTTCTGTCTCCAGATGTCAGTGACCAAGCCATCTGCACTACTGTCTGTGCCACAGAGTCACCTTCCACAGCCAGGAAGAGAACGCCAGGCAGTAGGTGGCTGTTGCCTCATTTTGGTCAATACCTTTTTTGGGCTCTTCTGGTGTGCTACTTCCTAACGCTTTTTAAGTCATATCTGTGGTGAATGACTTAGACCTCCCACCTAGAAAAATGCACATCCAACTCATATACAATTGCTGTGGTTCAGAAACTCCCAGAATTCTAAAGTCCTGAGTCACCTCTTTGGCATCAAGGAAGAATCCCCACTGAGGAGGCTGAAAAGCAGAGCATGGCTGGCCTAACACCCTACCTTGCTGCATAGCCCCTCTCCTCCCCTGGGACTTTGTCCTGCTCTGAGCACACACTTACTCGACTGTGAACTCGTGTGTCCCTACGGGAATGCAGTACACAAACTGCATGGCACTCCACAGTCTGTGGAACTCCACACACTCATCCACATGCATGACTCCATTGCTGGGCAGAGGCCCACGCCAGATCGGGTCGTCCAGAAAGCTCCGGATCCGTGTCAGGATGACCTCAAACATGGACAGGCCGCAGCAGAGGCGCTCCTTGGTCAGCAGGTCCCCCTCTCTCGCGATGGCAATTTGCTGTAGGAGGAACAAGTGGCGGAATGCTGTGGGCCCTGCAGGCATCCAGCTACTCCATGTCCTGTATTTATTTTTTTTTGAGACAGAATTTCGCTCTGCTGCTCAGGCTGAAGTGCAGTGGCATAATCATAGCTCACTGCAGCCTTGACTTCCTGAGCTCAAGCGACCCTCCTGCCTCAGCCCTCCCAGGGGCTGAGATTACAGATGCATGCCACCACACCTGGATAATTTTTATATTTTTTTTAGAGACAGGGTTTTGTCTTGGCCTCCCAAAGTGCTGGGAAGACAGGAATGAACCACGGCTCCTGGCCCTGGAAACACGTTTTGGGTGGGGTCGGTTTGCTGGCATCTAATGTGGAGGCCAGGGACGCTGCTAAACACCTACCATACACAGGGATGACCCAGCCCCCACCATAGAGTGCCCTGGTCCCAAATGGCTGAGAAAGCCTGACTTAGCATAAGCTGCTGGCTCACTGTGGAGCTCTGCCCTGACACCTTGCCTCCTGGCCTCATTTATTCCGTTCTTAAACTGTGGAAAAGCCTTCTTCATCACCGGCTGGACACTCACAAGTGACATCTGTAGTAGTCTTATGTGCCAGGTGATGTGCTAAGCCCTTTCCCAGCATTAGCTCATTTGAAGTCCCCGACCACCCTGGGAAGCAGCCCCGGTGCACACCCCACTTGCGACGCTGAAGCTGAGCAGCCGCCATGGCCATCGGATTTCATGATGCCTTCCAGTGTGGCTCCCAACCGGCTGCCTGGCCTGACGTGGATGCCCAGCTTGCAACAGCCACAACCGCCACGGCACACGTTACCTGAGGGGTCCCCAGTCTTTCAATCAGTGGGACAAGATGCAGCGGGGCGTACTTTGATTCTAGCCTTTTCATTTTGGCATCAAGTCTCTCTCCCTCTGCAGTAGAAAAAATACTTTACTATATTCTGCTCCTTCGTATGAAAGGGTAATTGCAAAAGTTTAAATTAGTTTAGAAAAAGATTTTAAAGTTAACATTATCTATACACATTTTCTTTAAAAGTTATCTTACAAACCTGGCTCAGTTAACATTTTATTTCAAACTGGCAGGACTGATTTTCTGCTCAATATTCATTTTACACTTACTATTTTCAAATGTAATCCAAAGCAGAAAATGGCACAATGAGCCTCTGTCCCCATCATCCACTACAACAGTTATCAACTCATGGCCACTCTGCTTCTTATATACCCAACTCCCCCTGCTATTAATACTTGGAAGCAATTCTAAGACATTGTATCACTGCAGCCCTGTTTCTCAGACTTCATGTAACTAGGTTCTGTACACTCCTCATTACCCCTGCATATGATTAAACAAGCACCAAACCTCAATCTGCACTGGCCCTTAGCTCTCCGGCTGCATAGAGTAGGTACCACCCCCACAGACGGCAGTCTGGACTCCCGGGGAGGCAGGGTGGGAGGGTCCACAGGCTCACCTTTCACATGGACTCGTGGCAAGATATTCTGGAAGGGAGCCGCATGCAGGAGGTCGCAGACTTCTTCCAAAGACTAGAGCAGAGAAAGAAAAGGGCACACTATGGGGAGGATCTTGCCACAGAGAGATAGCTGCTGCTGAAGACAAAGAGCCTGGCCGGGCATAGTGGCTCACACCTGTAATCCAAGCACTTTGGAGGCCAAGGCAGGCAGATCACCTGAGGTCGGGAGTTCAAGACCAGCCTGACCAACATGGTGAAACCCCATCTTTAAAAAAAAAAAAAAAAAAAAAAAAACCCAAAGAGCCTCTTTGCCTTTTAGCATGAAATAAACTCTTCTTTGTGTTAATGGAAATGCTTATGTCTGTCCTTCCATAATGGGAGCCACCAGGCCATGTACGGGTAGTAAGTACTTGGAATGTGGCTTGTGCACTTGAGGAACTGAATTTTTAATTTTAGTTACATTTAATTAACTTAAATGTAGACACAGGTAAGACCCAGTGTTGAATGTGGCTCTGTTTTCCAGGCTTTACCAGTTTGGCAGTTCTCTCCACATCCTTCCTGCTAATTTGCCACCAGGCTCTTAAGAACCACAGGGTATGATGAGACCCTACTGCGCTGACAGAAGGCAGAGCCTCTGCAAACAACAAGGGAGGCCCACCCTGGTGTCCACACCCACTCATTCTCCACAGAGTCCAAAAGGAAGTTGTGGGTCATCAGGCTGAACCTATGGGTCACAGACTTCTTTACGAGGTAATAGAAACCCCACACGAGGCCCATTCTCCAGGGTAACACGTATGTAGAGAAAATGCACCTCCAGGATCACAAGGATGGCAGAACCCCAAAAAAACACTATGGACCCAAAGATGCTAAAAAATAGCGCAACTCCTGTTCATCTTTAGAGGAGAGGGCTCTCAGGCCACCAGGAAGGGCCTCTTCAGACCACAGTGCGCTCAACACCCCATGGAGCAGGCAGAAGATGATGGGGCCTTCAGTGCCCCCTACGCTACAGCCATGCTGAAATCTTAAGTTCCACAGGAGTAAAAGAAATGATCAAACAAAGAAATGGCTATTGGAAAATCAAGAAACGCTGACAATGAGATTTTAACTTCTGAGGACCTCCCAGAGATGATGGCAAAACTAAAACCAAGAGGAAAAAAAGCAGACTTTTCAATACTCCTCAATGTCAATCCAGTGCCAGCAGCCGGCCAGACGCCATCTGCTCCGTGTTTCTCCCTAAGCTTCTAATGCAGCATCAGACTTCATCCAGAAGCCAACAGAGGGGCCATCTGTTGCCGTGACTATGCACAGAAACTGAGGTAAGAGGCTGGCCCAGTAAATTCCATCCTGCCTGGTTCTGTAATTATTTATGTCCATCCCAGGATTCCCTGACATTCATTTTGTAGGTAAGAAAGTTGGGAGAGTTTATCTTATTTCCAGAAAGGACAGCTGGACAGAAGAGAAACCAGCCATAATGGGTCCTTGCCACTATCTCAATCAGTTCCACACGCTGTCTCTCCCTTAGGAAAGCCTGGGTCTCACCTGGCCGACCTAGGCCAGTGACCAGACAGCCATCCTCAGGCTTGGACATACACAAAGGCTATGGTTTGGATGTGGTTTGTTCCTGCCAAAACTCATGGTGAGACTTAATTGCCAATGTAGCAGTGTTGGAAGGTGGTCTGTTTGAGAGGTGACGGATCCTTACGAGACTGGGTTAGTTCTCCCATGACTGGATTAGTTCTTGCCGGAATGGATGAGTTCCTGTGAGAGCAGGTTGTTGGAAACAAGGTTGCCTTTCACATTTGTTCTCTTTGCATACACCCACCTCCCTTTCTGCCTTCCCAGCCAGCTGAAGCAGCATGAGACCCTGACATGAGCTGTCCTGATCTTGGACTTCCCAGCCTCCAGAGTCATGAGTCAAATAAACTCCTTTTCTTTATAAATTACTCAGTCTCAGGCACTGCTACAGCAACACAAGATGGACTAACACAGCAGATGAGAAGGGGTACACCTTATGCTGTACGCCCACCTCGCTAGTCATGAGGGAAGGCAGGAGAGGCCTCAGGAAAAGCCGCCCATGAAGGGAACATTACTAAAATTCATAGCAAGAGATTATTTTTAAAGGGATGCTTCCTATCTGGCTTTTAAAAATTCACAATTATTTGGGGACTATGTCCTTAGAGCAGGGCCACCTTGGACACTGGCTTCTTGCTAGCCTGAACACAGGTAGGTTCTCCATCTTGTGCCCCTCACACTTGCAGTGGGGAGGGCATCAGTGGGAGGGGATGCTCACGTGGGGTCCCCCACCAAGCCTGTGGGTGGCCAGGACAATGAGGGCCTGAGGCTGACACAGTCCCTCTTTGAAACCACTTAGGGGTCTGCCTAGGAGTTTGAGGATATGGGGAAATGAAGGTGCAGGTCTGATGGAGGCGATCAGCTCCCAGATGCGTCCTGCCTGACCTGGGACTCCCCTGACATGTGAGCCAGCGCACTCACTGGCAGGCAGGTGTGAGGCGGATGGTCCAGAGGCTCAGTCTGCAGGGACCCGGCAGTCTGACAGCAGTCTGTCCCTGTTCTTCCCAAATAAAACTCTTGCCTTTGCCAAGCTACCAGGGACCTGAAGACAAGAGACTGCTGAGAAACAACATAGGAAAGGCCTCTGCAGGCAGCTCTGGAGAGGCAGCGCGGTTCCTAAGCACAAGCCAATATGCTTTGCCAGAGCACGTGGCGTACCAGTCCGAAAATGGCAGAGCGAAGAGCCCCAAGGAGGGAACACGCCGAGGTGGGAATCGGGACTTGTCAGGGAAACGAAGAGCAAGACAACATGCTCTGATGCCAGAGACGGACACCTCGACCAGCGGGATGCGGCAGGAGGCCAGGAGACAGGCCAGTGTGCCCACAAAAAGCTGGCAGATGGCAGGTGACACCACTGGTTGGCAGTGGGAGGAAAGACAACGGGGTCCCCACCGAGAAAGAAAGACGCTTCCTCCGCATCTCACAGCACACACAAACACCAACTCCAGAAGAATCTAAATCTACATGAGAACATAAAGGAATGTCTTCATGACCCCAAGGCAGGAAAAACAGCTTTAAAAAGATACAAGTTCTGTGGGCACATAGTAGATTAAAAAATAAAGATAGGCCGGGCGCGGTGGCTCACGCCTATAATCCCAGCACTTTGGGAGGCTGAGGTGGGTGGATCACGAGGTCAAGAGATCGAGACCATCCTGGTCAATATGGTGAAACCTTGTCTCTCCTAAAAATACAAAAAATTAGCTGGGCATGATGGTGTGCACCTGTAATCCCAGCTACTCGGGAGGCTGAGGCAGGAGAATTGCCTGAACCCAGGAGGCGGAGGTTGTGGAGAGCTGAGATCGCGCCATCGCACTCCAGCCTGGGTAACAAGGGTGAGACTCCGTCCAAAAAATAATAATAAAGATACCAAAAGTGCTCATCATTAAAAAAAAAGGGCCACATTCAAATTAAGAGCATTTGTCAAAAATCACTATGAGAGTAAAAGGATAAGCCACAAATAGAAGAATTTGCAATATGAGCAGCACATAAAGGCTCTACACAGAGTGAGCTGTAGAAAAAACAGGCCCAAGAACCCAATGGGGCGTTTCACAGAAAAACAAACGACGCAGTGAACAGAGACGCCCACCTCGCTAGTCACGAGAGAAGGCAGGAGAGGCCCACGTGAGATTCCATTTCTCAGTGGCTTTCCCAGTCCAGGAGGTTGTAAACTGAGCTGCTGTGATGAACAGGACAGAGGGACAGCCAGATGGCACCACAAGGAGATACCAGTCAAGGAAGTGAGCTGTCCACCATGCCACATCCTAAGGGGGTGGGCTCCCAGGGGTATGTGTAGCTGTTCAGATTTAAATTGGTTGTAATTCAGTAACATTGAGCACTCAGTTCCTCAGTCACACGAAGCCGCACTCAACTGCTCGGTGGCCTCAGGCAGAGAGCCCTCCTAGGCAGCAATGCTTTAGCCCTCACCAGCATGCCAGATGTGTTCATTTAGATGTTGAAAACATCACATAATAAAACCGTTTCATTACTTTCACACAGAACAACATTCCTGAGACAATGAACTACGGTACACTTTTGTTTTCCAATTGTAGGGAACAAATTCAAACCAAGTCTGAACGGTCATGAAAAAGAATGATGCTTTACCACACTGCTGCTGCCATACCCCCACTAAAGCACCCACCAAAGGAAGCCCCCCGGTGGCCACTGGGGTGGGCCAGGCCGGATGGGCACTCACCAGGCTCTGCTCGATGAGCAGGCAGAAGAGGACAGCATTCCCCACCTCCCGAAGGTTCTGGAAGCACACGGTCTTCAGCTCCGCGTACTCCACAATGTCCTTCAGCTGGTGGTGGAAGAACTCCAGGATACCTATGGTGGTGGAAGTAAGGTGGGGTTGGGGGTGGAGGGGCCAGGACCTGGCAGCCTGCTCCACAGCCGGGTGCAACTGCTGTTCTGACTCTGCCATCGAGCCTGGTTCTAAGGACGGCCACTACGTCCCATGCGTGGCATCTTCCCTGCAGCGGTGGTTCATTCAGCACCTGGGCACGTCCTCCACACACCTTGCGGCTCTGGGCCTCGGCTCTGAGGCCTCTTTTCCAGTCAACCCCCTATCTTTAGAGAAGGCTATGATGGTACGAAATGTCACATTACAAGAAGAAAGACTGCACCATCGTCCCCAGTGGGGGTGGACAAGGTATTTGACAAAATTCAGTCTCTCTTTGCAGGCATGGAAGGGGCTGGACCTAATCTGAGAAAGGGCATCTAGGAAACCTGCAGCTAACTAACCACACACCCAATGGGAGGCTGCACCCTGTGCCAGCTCCGGAGCAAGGCAGGTGTTTCGGCGGCATCTGGACAGTGGAATGAGGCACAAAAAGACTAAGGCGCAAAGGTGGGACAGAAGGCCAACATCCCCCAGTTGATCTATCTACAGCTTCGACTCCAGCCCAGACAGAAACTGGCGCTGACTCCACAATGCACATGGCATCAGGAGGGGCGAAGCTACCCTGGGAAGAGCCAAGTGGGAGGCTCAGCAGACCTGAGTGCCCCTTCCCCAAGGACCAGGACTGACCCAGCCCTCCCTGCCCTACAGACTCAGTCCCCGCCCCCGCTCCTCCCAGCTCTTAGCACTGCTGGGGGACTCGGTCCCACTTGGTGGGACTGGGGGCACTCTTGCACCTGTCATCCCAGCAAGCTTTCCCTGTGCCACACTGGGCCAAGACGGCTTCCCCTGAACACATGAAATGTTCACCTCCAGTCATGACACAAGCATTGGTTTGAGCATCTCAGCATTCCTCATCTACCTTCTGGCAATCAACAAATTGGATTCTCCTGAGCCAGGGTCGAGCCACTGGTCACTTCCCCAAGGGGGCTGAGGGAGACGCCTTATCTTCTCCTCAAACACCAGCCATAGCCCTGGGCAGGTGCCAGAAAGCAAAAACTGGCAGTGTTCAAGGGCTCAGCCAGGCTGAGCCCATCAAGACGGTGTCTCATTGGTCACCCACGTGCACGCTCAAGTCACTTTATAAGGCAAGGCTAGTGTTCAACTGTCCAGCTTTCAAGAAAACTCTGCCAGGTAAGAGACTAAAAGCAGTTTTGTTACGTGACAAAGGTCCCTGTCATACAATTTTACCATAAGACAATGCTTTCTGAGATCACTAAAGCTGTTTATCTGCATAGCCCCAAACCAGCCCACCAGCCCACAGCAAGTGATGCGGGCCTGTCCCTAGGAACACACCTGCCTGAGGCCACACAGCAGGACCTGCAACTGGACGGACTGCCTGGGGGCAGGGGTGTGGCTGTCTCTGAGGCTCAAGCCCCCATAGGCCCAGCAGGGCAGCAGGACCCCGCAGTTGCTTCCCTGGCCTCATCTGGTGGCCTCTTCTTTCACAGGGGCACAGGAGAGTGGCGTTCAGGGCCTCGTCGTCTCAACTCTGGTGGGTGGATCTCTTGGGCCCCTCAGATCTCCACCTGCAGATGGTGACCCCAATATACCTCCTTTCTGGTTGTAAGGTGCATTTGTCTGTCTGCTGCCTTCTCCCACGTGGCAAATCTAATCCTTTTCAATCATTTCTGGGTTGAATTCCTTTCTGACCTCTCCCCAGAGCGCACTGTGAGCTCCGCATGCCCGGAGGCGCCCGCACTCACCGGGAGAGCCGTACTCGTGCCGGGGCAGGCGGCAGATCTTGGGCATCACCTCCATCAGTGTCTTCACGTACTGCAGGATGGTGCCCTGCAGCTGCGGGGGAGACGAGACAGGCTGCGTCAGCCTCCCCACCCCACTCCGCTAGCACCGGAGCACACGCCCTGAAATGAGTCTGTCAGCAAAGAGCTTGGTAGCGAGCAGGCTGCAGGGTCGCGTGGCTGGGGAATGAATCTGCCCCTAAAGAGAGAGCAACCATCACCAGGTGGCTTCCCATGGCTGAATTGATGTTCTGAAACAGGGCTGTCCTTTCAAGATCAAAGTGACCCCGAGGTGCCACAGTGAGGGGAGAGCTGTGCCACCAGGTGTCTCCCACAGGGATGCCCCCGAACGTGGTGAGCATGGCCAGCTCCGGGCTCCCCCAGGACACCATCTGTGCTCCTGGGTGCACCTCCATGCTCAGCTGTGGTGATGTCAGCAATGCTGTTACCCTCTAAGCTGCCACAGGTTTTGGGGCAGAGTCCCCAGTGGGGGGTCCTGGAAGAAGCTGTTTAGGTCATGGGGTGATGGCTATGCCAAATGACCAAACTCACACGGTCTCAGCACAGAAGATTATTAACATAATAAAAAAGGATGGACCGGGTATGGTGGCTCATGCCTGTAATCCCAGCACTTTGGGAGGCCGAGGTGGGTGGGTGGATCACCTGAGGTCGGGAGTTCAGGACCAGCCTGACCAACGTGGACAACCCCGTCTCTACTAAAAATAAAATA